AAGTTTTCTAAAATTGTCATAAAGTAGTCATAAAATTTATGTTTCCTAAAATTGTCATAAAGTAGTCATAAAATTTATGTTTCCTAAAATTGTCATAAAGTAGTCATAAAATTTATGTTTCCTAAAATTGTCATAAAGTAGTCATAAAATTTATGTTTCCTAAAATTGTCATAAAGTAGTCATAAAATTTATGTTTCCTAAAATTGTCATAAAGTAGTCATAAAATTTATGTTTCCTAAAATTGTCATAAAGTAGTCATAAAATTTATGTTTCCTAAAATTGTCATAAAGTAGTCATAAAATTTATGTTTCCTAAAATTGTCATAAAGTAGTCATAAAATTTATGTTTCCTAAAATTGTCATAAAGTAGTCATAAAATTTATGTTTCCTAAAATTGTCATAAAGTAGTCATAAAATTTATGTTTCCTAAAATTGTCATAAAGTAGTCATAAAATTTATGTTTCCTAAAATTGTCATAAAGTAGTCATAAAATTGTCATAAAATTAACCTAATATTCATAAAAGTTTCCTAAAATTGTCATAAAAGTCTCATAAAATTGTCCTAAAGTTGTCATAAAATTATCATGAAAGTATCCTAAAATTTTCGTAAACGTACTCTTTGCAACATTTTTTTTTTTAGTAAGTGCTCTAATATTTTTCCAAAATCCAAATTTTATTTCGGCTTGGTGTCATAAAGTTGTCATAAAAGTGTCCTAAATTGTGTCACGTTTAGGATCATAAGCTTATGACAACTTTATGACAAGTTTTTTTTACACGGGTACGTTATCTTTTCAAGAAGCTAAAGAACTGTATTGAATTTTATTAAAATAATAAACGTTCTGTTACTAACTCATTAATATATTTTTTTATCGTAATAAATAGGTCTATACATACAGGAATTTCTCCAAAAACTTTAATCTCAACGTAATATGACTACTCATTTGAACTACTAACATTAAGAAATTTCCATCATCGGATCATTCACTATCAAACACAAAAAAATATAAGTTATTCTGGCCAAATGAATCAATTTAAAAGTTAATTTTCTAATTTATCTTAAACGTTTTATTTTTTTTTTTAATTCCTCGAGATCTTTGAAGTTTATAACTGGAATTATCGAAAATTCTTTTACAGCTTACATATTTTGTTTCCTAAAAACTATGTAAGCATACAAATATTCTCGAAGTGAAAATAAAAATAATATATATCTAACATAGGAAGTATTTAACGCCAAATTGACTACTCTTTACTTCGACTTCTTTCGATTTAGGTAGAAAAAAAAAACATCATATTCAATCAAACCTATATCTGTCGTTATCTTCAAAATTTTCTCAAAAACAGATGATGTAAAAAGTGATCACTTTGACAATTTTTGGCTAAATTATAAACTCCTAAAAATCAATTTCTAGCTAATCTGACATAGAAATGATTCCGTGCGCCTGTTTTAAGAAAAATTTGTAAGGTTTTCTTTGAACAATGAAAATTCACTGAAATTAGTTATATTCATTAAATTTTGTTAGAAATTGAAAATGTACAATTTTAAATAGAATTCCATGAAATCATTTTTAGTTACCGTCGACACACAGTGTAAATACGATAGTGACATGCGGCGTAAAGGCGATATACACACGGTCTAAGATCAGTATTCAAAATATTTCATGAGACCTACATTACTATTCATCTCCTTAAAATTTTGACAAAATTACTATTTTCAAATTATTTTTTACCGTAAATATTGTGTTATGCTTACAATGTGAATAAACCGTGCATTTACTATAGATGTACAGAGTATTCATAACGAGTACACACAAGGTAATCTCCGTGGATACATTCAATATCATTCCAGGGAAAGTCGGTGTACATATGAAGTAAACAAGGAGTTAAATTTCCAGTGTAATGTAAGTGTCAATAGCTGGTAAATTTTTCACAAATACACGGTGTTAATTGATCTTTTTTTTGGTGTAAACTGAGTGTGGTTATCATTACACCGAGTTTACACCGTAGCACACGGTGTAAATGGATCCGCTAGGGAGGACACTTACTTTCTCATATTAATAGATTTTTTGGAACATTAGAAAAAATCTTGAATTATGTATTAGTTTTTTAAAGTTACTTTTTGAGATTAGGATATTTTTTACGAAATAGAAGATGACTTATATTTACATTATGCTTGTACGCACACGTGAATTTCTTGAATATGTTTTCTAAACTATCTTGTTCGATGAGTTGGAGCAAAAAACAATTTTTTTAAGATAAATTATGTGACAGAAAAAAATGATATTGTTTGAAGGTAATTCAAAAGTAGTTTAATTTATCTAACAAATGTCAAGCAATAAAGTTTATTTTGTTATTACTTTACTAAATCTATAGAAAATTTTCACATAAAAACATACGTAAATACAGTTAAATTTTAAGTATAACTATTTTCAAGAGGTAAAAAATCATTTTACTTCAATCTGCGATAATTTTTGTATATATACAAGTCTTCCAGGACTATAGTCTTCCAGGTTTCATAATGCACATTCACAATACTATTAACGGGTAGAAGTGGTTACTCCAATTCGTATTTATTCAGAGGTAAACCGAAGTACATTTTATTTTCAAAATTCATTACGATACATACAGAATTGATGTTTATAATGGGAACTAATAGAATTCTTTGTGCCGGAAAAGTTCGGTGTAAATATCCCAGAGTATTAAATGTAAAATTATCTGTATTAACCGTAAATAATTCTTCGGTAACAACTTGTTCTGTGACCGCATAATGGATTCCCTGACATCCGCATACCTGACGTCTACAATTACAAAATTGTACTTTAATAAAGTACTCAATTAGTCCCAAATTTAAATTGTTATTTATTGAGAAGCTGATTCCATCTGATCTAGTTTGCATTTCTTTTGGATACGAGCTTGAAATGTACAATTTTTTATCTTTCAATAGTCTAAAATAATAAGATACTTTCGTAATGTTGCCAATGTTCTCTTCGTTCAACATTTCCAGCAGGTTAGGTGGTATTTCATCGAAGTATTTATAAGTACCCACGCTATAAGAACCTGGTCCGATTTCTTCAATGATTTTGACTTGCTTTTTTTTGCTAAGACAGAAGTCCAAAATATCTCCGTCCGGTATGCCTTGGGTACATCTTATTTTTTTAATATTCCTAACATGGGACTTTGCCACTTGTGAATCAACATGATTGGTTCCATGGATTGCCTTCAAGGTTAATCCATTTAGATTCTCATACTCATAGCATGTGTTGGACCATGAAGGTCCAAGTCTCCGTACACAATCAGGTAAATGACGTACTTGATGAAAGTTGATAGAACAGTGTCTTAATCCGTACAACGTTTCGAAGTCTTTGGTAAATTTATTTAAAAATTCTTCCGCAGCTGCAATCAAAGCTGGTGTAATTTCATTAAAACTTAGAATCGCACATCCAACTATCAAGAGTTTATAATTTTCATATAAATCTGGCCTCAAAATTCCTTCTAACACCGGAAGTGAATAATAAAACGCCCATATTCTAAGTTCGGATGCCTTCCAATGGACTACTTCATCAATAGATCGAGTCATGCGGTGAATAAACTTTGTTGGTTTAATTGCCATCAAACGCGCATCAACAGTCTCAATCATTTGATATAGTGAAAAACCTTCATCACGATATTGAGAATCGAAGAGAAGAGTTAGAATTTTTTTGATAATACCTCCGTCCACACAATGCATCCGGTCAATTGCCATTCCTCCGATAAAATCTGGCATGTAATTGGCAAGAGCAGTAGGGCCTTTAACTCCAAAAATCGGATTTTCTTCTGTCGCAGCTTGGGACCAGTTGATGCAGTCAACTGATGTTCTCATTATCAATTGGTCTTCATACGGGTATATATGAGTAGATCCATTTTCAGTATCAATATTGTGACCTTCAATACAACAAGCCATGCATCCAAACGTACCATTAAATTTTTTAAAATTTAAGAAATCGGATTTAGCTGGAGTATCAGCTGTTCCTGAAAGTAAAACTCCTCGAACTTGGATAGGCTCTTCATAGTTTACCAATTTTATATTGACACCTTCAGCTAGTTCATTGAACTGATTTTCGAATTTGCTCATGAATAAATTAGGATTTGGTTTTGAATTCCCAAACCATAATCCAAGAAGCAAAGTGTTTTCTCTCAATTTTCTCACGTGAAATGGCAACTCGTTTATTGTTAAAAAGAAAGGAGTCATACTTATTTGTGACGATTTAAACACTGGAATGCCATCAGTGTACCAACTAAAAGAAATATTGTTTGGGTTTTGCAAAAAGCCATTATTCATCCAGTTTTTATAGATAGATCCGTCATATATGTCTGCAATGACATCATTATTCACAGCTCTTTGAAAACGATGTTGCAGTAGTTCAATGAATCCGTCTCGGTTAAACATTTCTTTTAGCTGTATCTGAATAGGCATTGTTATAAAATAGGAATTTTTTGTACCTTGACACGACGGGCAATTGTGATCTTGTGATTCTAATTCACGTTCACATGTTGTACAATAAAAATGTTTATCCATAATCTCATTTTCTTGTTCTAAATTGAAAAATTTTTTAAATTTGTACAAGCTATTTTTTTGCAAATCTTGACTAGGACAATGTAAATGTATGACTTTAATTATGTCTTCTATGCAAGTCATAGTAAGATTATGGTTAACAAGGAGTGTTAGTATTAAAAGCATACTTTCTGTAGCATTTATCGACGCTCCAGCATATAACGGCTCATTTGCTCTCAAGTCCACATTATCTTCTTCGTCGGCGTCTTCAATATTGATATTCATATTAACTCTGTTTTCGATATTTTTGTTGTTAATGTTATTTTTTCTTTCTAATTGACCAGCATGAATACAGTTAAATGAAAACTAATTATCATTAAAAATAAGAAACAAAAGATTACTTTTACTGTCTGTTATTTTAAAAACTCAATGACATTTTTTGAGTATAGTAATTAAATAATTAATATTCAATAAAAAAATTTTAATTATGAGTAAACGTAAAAGAAAGTATGCATTAGTTTGGTGGGTTGACACTGCTGAAACTGATGTCATGCCATTATTAAAAATACCTAAAAGATATCGTGAATTACATACAATTGGAGAATTATCGTGGAAAGATAATGCAACGAAACAGGTGACGAAGTCAAAAATGAAAATATTAGCAATTGATCGTGAGTATCAGGACTTAACAAATAATAAAATTACACCAGAGTTTTTATTAATGAAGTTTAAGCTGTGGAAATTTTTACTTCTAAAAGTTTTATTTTGGGAAAAAATTTTTAAACTATCTTTAAATATACGTCAAAGTCAAAGCGTTGGTTGCACTAATTTTATGTAGTTTTGTGTAAGTGACTTATTTTTATAGATAGTTAGATTAATTAAACGCAAGAAGATATCTATTAGAATCCATAAATTTTTCTCAAAAAAATTTGTATAATTATGTCAAACTATATAGAGTTTTTTATATGGTATATTAAAATCAATGACTCATGTCATTCCCTTATGCATGTACATACTACATACAGTCCTTGTCATGCATACTCTGACTCCCAAGAATGGAAATTTAGACGTACAATCTATTTCTCTATACAGAAGTTTAAAATAAATGATATCATATTCAATTAATTTTGTGATAAAAATGTATAATTTTTTTACTTATTCGGTTATTTTTTTTTACAATTATAATTAAAAATTTAATTAGTTTTATATCTGACTGTAACGTAAACTTGAATTACGTAACCTTTAAATTAACTTTTAAATTTATCAGTAGTTTTTTATCAAAAGTTTAAAAACCATTAAAGTTTAAAAAATCATTTCTTATTTATTTATAATATTTATATTGTATATATATTATTGGTATATAACTAAAGTACTTAATGTATTAATTTTCATATAATTTGACATAATTATATTAAAATTTATTTCTTAATCGATATTCATATACTTCCCAATATATGAAAAGTAATAATTAATGATAAATGCAGGCGATTACAATTCATTTAATTAAAAATGTTTTAAATTTTTAAAATTTTTAAATTAACCAATGTAAAAGTTTAGTTTTAAAATCAATAAGTTTAATAATCTGACACTTTGATTAAAAAAGAATTAAAAATTTTTTTAGTATACTTCATTAATAATCTAAACGTCAAGTTTCACGAATTAATACTTTTTTAAGGTCTTATAAATCATGATTTCAAGTTGAAAAAAATTTTGTTACAAGATCATGAAACTAAAAAATTTAAACTCTAGACCTAGATATTTGATTATTTCATTTAAGTTTTTCTTTGCAATCAGGCAGTTATTTAATTATATTTTTTTTAAGAATAATTATTTCGTTTCGAAAACTTGCTTAAAACATGGTGAAAAAAAATTTACTCTTACAAAAATGGATTTTACTAATATTTATTTTCAAATTCATGTATTTGTATTCAATTTTTTTTCTCATTATTGAATATTTTTAAAGTAATCTATAAAAATTATAATGTTACTGAATGATTATGAAGATATAAAGTTGCAGATGTCAGTCACTTTTAAGGTTTCGGAAGACGTAATTGTGGATTTTTTTTACGTATTTTTGATAGATAAAAATTTCTTTGAAAAAATCGAAAGCTTAAATAATATTTTCGAAAGTTGCAGAGATTTTATAAACCCTGCGTTTCGGTAAAAAATGATTACATAGAATTAGGAAAAAAACAATTTTTAAGCTTTTGGTTTCATGATTTTTTATAACATATTTTTACGACATTCATTTCGAATAATCCTTAAAAATAGTGTAAAAATAAAATATCTTTAGATTTTTTTCATTTTTATTTTTTAATGAAACTAAGAAAGTATAATTATTATTATTTACAACGAAAAGCATATACATTTTTATTGATTTTTGAAGATGATGAAGAATCTTTAAGACGGATGCTAGTGAATACAAAGGGGGAAATTACGACGCCATCCGATAAAATATTTCCTGCCGAAATTATAAGTAAAAAAGTAGAATTGAAGGAAAATTTGAAATTGCAAAATGGAATTAAAACGTCGAACAAAAGAAAAATCGATGAAAAAATTCAAAATCAGAAACCTATTCTGCACAAATTTTTTCAAGTTGATAATCAAAGACAATTTATTAACCTGTCTGAATTTAAACCAACTGTGATGACTTCATGTAACCCTAGACAAGCTTCCCAACTTCAGACTTCTTTCAACCTAATACAAAATTCTCAAGTTCTGAGCTCTTTTAATCCGGTTCATAACTCTCAAGTTTTGAGTTCTTTAAATCCAATCCACACTTCTCAAGTTCTGAGTTCTCTAAATCCAGTCCACTCTTCTCAAGCTCTAAGTTCTTTCAATCCCGTCCACACTTCTCAAGATCTTAGCTCTTCTATCTCAGTAACAACATCTTCACCTTACATTTTTCCTCAGGAACCACCTTTTCAACTACCATCTACTTCAGTGCAGGAAAGTAATGATTATTTTTCTGTGCAAGGCAGTAGTTCTTCCCAGCTGAACATCAATAAATCAGATATGTACGAGTTTCCATCGACAGTTGAAATCACACCAGCCCCTCTAGTAATTAACATGAAAAGTTTGACTGAATCTACCAGCAAAGAAAATGAAATTATATCTAGAAATGTCAAGGAGGGTCAAGTCATAATTAGAGACTGTTATAATAAAAGTGCAAGTGGTCCAACTCATTCTGGTGTTTTAAAAGCGGATGCAGCACCAAGTGAGATGTCGAGCTTGTTTTCTAAATTGATTTCAACAAAAAGTAATAATAATAATTGCGATTTCGATGTATTTGATAGGGTAGGTCAAAAAAATCGATTATTATTTTTTTAACTTCTAATATTGAAAAGTTGGTTCTCAGGCACCTCTAGAAAATGCTCACCAAATTTGAACTCTTAATATTGATAGGAAGCTTATCCTCATCACAGTTTTATATTTTTTGTTAGTCTCTTATAAAAAAGATCATATCTCACTATTGATCAATTTTTTAATTAAATTTTTATACATATTTTTGTAGAAAATTAAATGATCTATAAAAAGATCTGAAATGTGTAAGCGATTACATTAACCATTTCAGAGATATCCGAGATCAAAGTTTAAAAAATTTAATGTGGTAGGAAATTAAAAAAAAAAATTTTTTTTGATAAATTTTTTAAACTTTGATCGATTTTTTTGACTCACCCTAGTATTTAAGTACATCATAATCACACTGGTTAATACAATTTTTATCACACAAAATTTTTGCTATGTTTATGTACTGTTCAGTCCTTTGTAATAGCTGGGAGCTATTTATGAAGCTATATGTTTTCTTATCAATATGTTGTCGTGAGATAGCCGTAGTACATTCAAAATTTCATATTAAGTTTCGTGTGAAAAAAAAATTGAAAATTGTTAACCAATCTTATTTTAAGTATTGTTGTAATTACAGTTACATTAGAAGTTGTTGAGTTCGTGGAGTCTCTTGCAGTCCATCTAAGACATCAATACAAAAAAGAACAGGATGAGGCCACTTCAGAAAAAACAGCTTTTCGAGTAAAGTATCGTACACTGATAAAAAAATTTACTTGATTCACGAAAAATGACCTTTAATCTAAATAGTCATTTTGAAAAAACTAATGATATCGAGAAAAAAAAAAGTTAAACTGAAAAATATTTACTTGAAACAAGAAAAATTTTTTGGCTGAAAAATTTTATAGCTTGAAGAAAAACAATTAATTTCTTCTAAACGATTTTCTTGGCTCAAGTTAATTTTTTCATCAGTGTTACAGAAAAATAGTAAAAAAAATTATTTAATATCTCACACAAATAAATTTAATATATTCAAAAACAAAATCAGATAATTGAAAAATACAAAAAAAGATATCGATTTTATTTTTGAAAAGAGTACAGATACTAAATAAAGCGTATCAATTGAAAAAATCTATTTCAAAACTTTTGATTTAAATAATAATCAGAATTGTATACTGTGAGGCTTATGATGCGAATCATTAAAGAGTCCTCTGCAATCGGAAAATTTTCTTGATTTTAAAAACCATCATTGGTTATTTTTTAGTTTTTACTGGCTAAAGTTATGTTATTTTTTGAGTTCACTTAGAAGTAAACCGTTGTATGAAAAATATCTAAAAATCAACCTAACATACAATGTGACGGTTAATTCACACTAGTGCGTCGTCAAGGGTAAAGGCCGAAACAACTTTGACCTACCTACCTTAAAATAAAATAAAGAAATAATCATGTTGCTGCTGGGCGCCAGGAGCTAAGCTCCAATCTCGCCGGTCCCTCCTGCTCGTCTCAGCTACTCGTTCTTCAGGGTGACGAATAGTGAAGAGCGGGATTTAATTTAAGTCAGAGAAATCGGGATGATTGGTTTGAGTCTACTCGGAATAATCGACTCCGAGTTACAGAAAAATAAATTATAAATTTATTTAAATCATAAAAATATCAATAAAAAAAATTAATACTCGTCGAAACTCCATCAATTGTACTTGTTAATAACAATTGTCTGGTGGTTCTCTCGTTGATGATTCTCGTCGCCAACTTCTCGGGCTTTGAATTATAGCCTGGTACCGCATTACATTTAATTACTTCACTTTATTTAAAATCTACAGACTTAAATAACTGAAATATTAATTATAAAATAAAATTTCGTGCGCAAATCGAGCTTCGGCAGTCGTCGTTAAAATACGAGGGTGACGCGGTCGCTGCGAATCTACCGAGGACTTCAAAATTAAATAATAAAAATAATAAAAAATAAAAAAAAATGATCAGGTGGTGCTTTCAGGTGCTTTCAGCCACATGTAACAATAATGAGCAATCTCAACATTAGAGATCACTAGAACTAAAAAATTAATTCTTTAAAATCTTAGAAACGACAATAATAAAATATATATCTTAGGGAGTTTTTGACTTATATTAAAGTATTTTTCGTTATTATTGAAAAGAATTATAATTTTTCCTGAAAATCACACTAGATTATTTCAATTTTTTTTACGTTAAATTGCAGAAATTGATTAATAGGACTGTTCGAATACTTCTGATAATGGTGCGCCGATAACTGGTCCCAGACATTTAATAGCACGATAGTTGTGTTTACCTAGTTTCAGATAAATACACACAAAATCTATGATAAAAGGGCTGCTGGGACCAAACGGCTGGGATCAGTTATCATGGAAGCTCTGATAATATACTTCTATCAATAAGCTATTTCATTAATATATGTATTAGTCTGTATACTGTATAATAATAATTATTTACTTCTTTTATATTTATAGATTCCACTACATTATTTCAAGAAAGAAGAAAAGAAAGTAATAAGATATGTTTACAATAATCAACAGGATATAAATAATAATAATAATAATAATGCAATAAAAATTTTTAGGCTGAAATATCACCAGGATGCGGTTTCTACATGGATAAAACCATTATTGCTGACATCGAAGAAAATGCTGAAAATAATTGGCGAAATCTAGTGACTGCAGTAATAAATGAAGTATATGGCGCTGAAATTAAGAATTTCTCGGCTAAAGGACGTGTCTCTCATAAACGATAAGGAATAAATAAAAAATTATTCAATGGACTCTACCGTAATTAAAATTATTAACTATATAAATTTTTAGTTACGCATATCTTACAGTATTACTGGAACTTATAAAAATCTAACAGTTACATTTCGATACCAACTGTCTATATATATTAGGGTGTGCCAAAATGTAACTCCCGTGGAGGACCTTTTAGAATTGGAATTTTGAGATCCGCTTTTAAAAGCAGCTTTGTTTAGGTCTTACCTAAGATATTTTGGATTGAGACGACGAATTTGATTTTCATAGAATTTTTTATCCTTTTAATTGTATTGTTGTAATTAGGAATATTTATTTGGATTAAATTGTATAGAAGCGAACATTTTTATATTCATTTTTTTATATCTTTAGTGGTATTGGTAATCACAAGAAGAAATAAAAATAATAACAGTCTTATGATAATTTTATATACAATTATTAAGATGTAAAAGACGATAAATTGACTTTTTATCTAAAAATTAGATCTAAATTGAATTATCTATCAGTAATTTGAAAACTTTTTTTGTCAAAGTAGTTAAGAATAAAAATTGTTAATAGAAGAAATTATTAATAAAACAAATTTTTCTAATCATAAAATTTTGAGTAAGATTTTCAATATTTTTATAGAAAACTTAAAACTTATAATCTGAATATTTGGTCAAAAATATTTCCAGGAATTTATACTTTACTTGAATGGAAATAAATTCAAAGTAAAATTTTATTCCAGTACATTCAATATTTGTACTGAATATACCAAATTTTAATTTGTAGTGTACTACCCAAATAAAATAATAATATTGTATTTATAGTATAATTACATACCATGAGTCATAGCTAACAAATATCTGCTCAGAGCAAGATCGCTTGTACGATCGTTTGGATGAGTCCTAAAACAAACCTCATTGAATTTTATTTGATAAATTTTGACTAAAATAATAATAACTTGCAAGTTAATATTTTGTGTGTCAGTTGATTGATAAAAAGTTTGTGACGTAATGACATCACAACGACGAAGCGGATCTTATTACCGTAAAAAGTTGGAGGATCTGAACAGAGAATACCATGACATGATAAATAGATAGATACAGACTGGAAGGGGACAACCTGATAAGAGTCGCTATTAAAGTGAAAATGGGAACGATGAACAAGAAAACTTCTAAAAAATTCACTGTGTCCGTCGCCAAGCCTGAGCCCGAAAAATCTGCCACCAAGAAAGGACCTAAGACTAAATACTTCTTTCGCACTTATTATCAGCAAGCTATAGAAGAAATACAGAACCTGACGAACGAGGCTGAGAATGTTTTCTTTCTGCGGTTGAATAATCTCTTTTGAAAGCTAAATAAAAATGACTTGCCCTTGAATATTCTTAAGGAGCTTCGCGAGGAAGAATGGCATTTCTTCGATACCACTGGTTATCTCGACAAATTGGATTAACTGGAACTTGATTACTGAATTTATTATGATTTTTTTTATCCGAATAATTGTACTGCTTCTTTTACGTGAAAACATTTTCAAGTAGTTTTGGTGAAATATTAAGAATTGTGTGTCATTTTAAAAAAGAAATCAAATTGTATTGACTAATTTTATTGCTGGCAATAATTTGTAAAATTTGTTAATAAATTCATAATTGTAGACAAAATTTATCTAAGAATATTTTTTAGTCTATGTTATGTGATTATTAATTAATTATTTTTAGTAATGAATGTAATTAATTTATTAGAAGTTTATAATTCCAGAAATTGTCTATATTTTAAAGAAGAAATGTGAATGTTATTAAATTGTAATGTCAAATTGTATTATTTAATTTGTATTGTGACTATTAATTTTTTAAATTTGGTAATAAATTCAGAATCATCAACAAAATTTGTCTAAAAATTTTTTTGGGGTTAAAGTAATTATTATTAATTTTAATTGTTAGTTTTAATTCTTAACACTGTGTCAACATTTTAAAGAAGAAATTTAAATATAATTAAATTTTATTAAGTTAGCTATTAGTATTTAAATTTTTTTATTAATTAAAAATGCTAGACAAAATTTATCTCCATAAAGTTGTTTTAATTAATAGAACGTGTTTATCAATTACAACCATTGATAATAAATATAAATAACTAAAGTGAGATATTAATTGAAATTGTCAAAATTTCAAAAAAGAAATTAAAATATTTTCGAATTTCCTTATTTAAGAAATATTGCTGATATTATTTTCTTTAATCGTTACTAAAATTTTTTAAATTTAAAGTACATTTTGTAATACTAGTATTACTACTTATTTATCATAGTTTTTGATTATTATTGAAATTAACATTAATTAAAAAACAAATTATTCCAATAACTAGACTTGTCGCAGGAATAATTACTCAAATTTATAATAAATTTTATCGGAGGTACGCGATATCGATGACAATTCCGTCCTCGCTGCTGTTACCAGATTCAGATTCCTGGCTGCTAGATGCAAAACTTGACTGTGAAGTCAATACTTGGACAGATGGCTCCTGATCAGAATCATCAAACATGTCGGGGCTGCTCGCCTGGCTGGGAGTCGTTGAATCAGGTGAAGCTTCTAGTGCCATTGAAGGAAGAGATTGATGCCGTTTCAGTGGTTCACCGTCAGCACCTCCATTTTGATGAGATTCTTCTACAGCGGGTTGTTTTACTTTAGTAAGCAGAGACTGGGAACGACCAACTAAAATTATTTTTTCACTTTTATTAATTAAGTTTAATCGAATATAATAATAATAAAAATAAAGTAATGAAAAATTTTCAATGAAATAGGTGAGGTTAAAAAATTTATATAAATTATTTCGTGGATTATCATTTAGTTTTTATTTAATTTAATTACCTGTAGACATTTTGATATTTAACACTATAAATTGAATAATTGATTTTTATCAATAATATTTGATTGTTTGCAACAATGATAGCAGTAAGTTGCTATATATCAATGACAGTTAAATGTGATAGCCATATTGGATGGACTTTTCCAGATGATTTTGACAGGAAGAGGGCGTTGCCATAGTTTATAACTTAAACGTAGTATTTAAAAAAATTCTGTAGAAAATAAGTACAATACTAATAAATATGTTTTAATTAAATTAATTTAAAATTTTAGTTAAACTTTAAATTTTTCATTATAAATTTTTTGATTTGAATGAGATTTTTTTTCTGAAAATCCTAGATGAAAAGTTTCAAAAAAATTATGTTTTCGAATGTTTTGTCAAAATTTTTCTCGAACTATGAAAATGAAATTATCAAACATCTGATAATTTTTACGATTTTTTTATTAAAACAATTATTACAAAAAATACAAATTTCAGATAGAGAAAATTTGAAAAACTAAAAGTGTAATTTTCTAAAAATATTTTTTAGTTATAATTTAATTAATGATAAAAATTTTTTAAATTTTTAAACGTCTGCTGATTTCAGTACCATGAATAACTATAGCTAATACTAGTAGCAGCTGTACAAGTAATTTTTTCAAATATTGTTAAAAATAATACTGAAATCAACAGACATCTGGCAATATTTAAAATTTTTATAACCAATCAATTATGATATAGAAAAAATATATCGGAGAAATTCGCACTTATTTTTTTTTAATTTTTATGTGTAGAATTTTTTTTTGAAAGTAAGTGTAAATTATTTGTTATACAAGTCCAAAAAATGATAGATGTCTGCTAACTTCAGTTAAATTTTTTTTTATTTAATTATTATAACAAATCTAAAAAATTGTCTAAAAAATGTCTGTTGATTTTAGTATCATTTATGAAAATAGCCGGTTTTACCAAAAAAGTGCCAAAAAGAAATTTTTTTTAAATTTAATTTTCTACAAAATTGATTCTTACATTTCTATTACCAAAATGCTCAGATTTAAATTAATAAACAGTTGAATATTTAAAAACCAAGAAAATTTTTATTTTGACGGTTTTCCATTAAATTGTTCAAAAGAGAAGCTGAATTTGTACTACCTAAAATATGTACCATTAAAATTACAGCTCCTAATATTAATTATATTGGGTACAAGTATTGTACAAAAAATAAATATACATCAATAGAATATTTTTTATGATACTTAAATTAGCAAACATCTGACAATTTTTGGAATTTTTATAACCAATCAATTATTATATAAAAAATATTTTAAAAAATTCGCATTATTTATTTTTTTTAATTTCAATAAGTAAATTTTTTTATTAAATATTTTTCATTATGACTTCATTGTTCTAAAAATCTACAAAATTATTAAATGCCTGTTAAATTTAGTACTATCATTTTTTTTTTTATCAAGTTATATAATTTTTCTTACATTAATTGTCTATCTCTACATGAAATAAAAATAACACATCAAGTTTTCTCACCTTTTATTTCGAATTTACTAATTACAGATTATAACAGTACATATCATAAAATGATAACTTAATAATTAAAAAAAAAAAAAAAAACCATCAATCCCATTTAGATCGCCAGGATAAATTATCGAAATTACAATCATTAATTTTATCCATCAATTCTTGAGTCACAAAATCAGCAATTGTAATAGACAAAAATTTATATGGCTTTTCGAATACATCTATCATCAACTGATTAATCGGCGGCAAACACTTACCGCCACGATATAATCCTCCATCTCTTGCGATAACACGACGACTATTTATCCCATCATCATAAGAAATGTTATCAATAAAACACTCGAAGGATCGGTTAGGTCTGAAAAGATTCCGACCAATACTAGGTACTACATATGAAAATATATTACCAAACGAAATAAAATCCACTTTTCCAATTTGACAATAAAGAGTAATGTCGAAAATACATTTAGCTAGTGATTTGTCATTACTTGCTAGAAGAATTTTCCCTCGATGCTCTCCAATGGTGTCATTGAGACGCCAATTCTTGACTAGACGTTTTCCACCTTTAGCAGTCTTAATGTAATGATCAATAATATGACAGTTCTTTTCAGGTACATCAGATTTTAACTCCAATTTTATTTCCAGGA